TTTATCTTAATCTAGAAAAGCCTACATAGTCCAGTCCTTGACTCACTCCTCAACTTTGTTTTGGCTCTTTCTCCCCCTGCTCACCATGCTCTGTTCTCCATGGTCAGATCCCATCCTTCAGGTATGGTCCATTCTATTCCCTCTGTGAGGCTGGGTACATCTGTAGTCCCAACAACTGAGGAGGCCAGAGCAGGAGGCTCACTCGAAACTGAGTTTAGGGCCAGATTGGACAACATAGTGAGCCCTGTCTCTCTGTCGCCATGTAGTTCAAGCTGGGATTGAATTCACTGTGTAGCCCAGGCTGGACTTGAACTTGCAGCAATCCTCCGGTCTCAGCTTCCTCAAGTGCTGGGGTTACAGGCATACACCACCACAACTGACTTTTTTTGGTGAAACTGAGGATTGAACCCAGAATCTTTGCCCTGAGGTATAGCCCCAGCCCCCACCCCTTTTCTTTTAAGACAGGGTCAATCTTGGCTAAATTGCTCAGGAGGGATTTGAATTTGTGATCCTCCTGCCTCAGCCTCTCAAAGTGTTGGAATTACAAGCATGTGCCACCATTCCTGGTGTGACTTTTTAAAAAAAATTTTTAATTCCTGCTACTAGAACACTTTACCTTCCCACTCTACTGTCTAGCTTTTGGTTTTATGATAGTCTCACAATGTACTTCAGGCTGGCCTTGAACTCACTGTGTACCCTAGACTGGCCTCAAATTTATGGCAATACTCCTGCCTCAGTCTCCTGAGTGCTAGGATTACAGGTGTACACCACAATGCCTGGCTAGGCTGGCTAACTTCTACGAAATATACAGTTCTCAATTAAAATGTCACTTTCTAGCTGGGTGTGGTGGTTTGTGCCTGTAATGTCAGCACTGAGGAGGAGGAAGCACTAGGAATGCAAATTCCAGGTCAGCCAGGGCCAAAAGTGAGCCTATGCCTCAAAGAATAATCAACAAATACAGTATTTTTTCCTTATCCTCAAGGATTACATTCTAAAATAGATGTGGTGGTGCACACCTATAATCCCAGCACTCAGGAGGCTGAGGAGGCAGTAGGCTTGCTGCAAATTTGAGGTCAGCCTGGGTTACATAGTGAGGTCAAGGGCAGCCTGAACTAAATAGTGTAAACTTGGTCTCAAAAAACAAAATATTGGGGCGGGGATTTAGCTCAGTGTTTCCAGTGCCTGCCTCAAAAGCTCGAGGTCCCAGAGTTCGAGCCCTGGTATAAAAAAAAAAAAGTTTAATTCATAAATTAAGCTTATTATTTTGAGACTGGGTCTTGCCTGTCTCAGGTCTTGGCTGGCCTGGAACTTGCAGCAAGCCTCCTGCCTCAGCCTCTCGAGTGCTGGGATTACAGGCATGTGCACCACATCTGGCAAATATTAAAAATAATTAAACAAAAAGAACAATTATAACAACATACCATATTAAAAGTTATGTGAATGTTTTCCTCCTTCCTCTGTCTTCCATGTCTGACAAGCTACAGGGCCCATCAGCTTCTGGGACATGAGGGATACCAGGTACTCTACAGTATGCTGGGTTGCTAAGAGGCTCCACAGGTTAGGTGTATTTCCATGCACTTTCAACTTCCACTGTGTTTATATGGATGTAACCCTGTTGTCTTCCCATCTGATCCCTGCTCAGCCTGGCTTCCTCAGCCTCTGCCATCTGAAGAGCAGGCTGGCCCTGGGCACTTCTGAGGAAAGTATCCTAGCTGTGGGAAACAGTGCTGCCATCTTCTCCAGTGAGCAGCCTTCCCCAGCTCCTGCCAGCTGATTGCCCTGTACTCTGTGCTTACAGAAACTACAGAACCCACCTGTTATGCAAGTGATCGTTCACAGCCCACAGTGCAGCCTTTCTCACCTAATGGGCCCACGAGGGATGTTTGGACACGAATATCACTGGCTCTGTTCTCCCCGGTTGCCAACAGCACTGAAAGGAGCCCTGTGGGATGAGGTTTGTAGACAATGCTTGGCAGTGTTCTCTGTGCTGTCTACCTTAACATTCTGGGAACAGCACACATACTTTACCTCCCTGAAATGAATCTCACTAATAGGTACATTCCACGCACAGAGCTTTTCCTTTTTTTGGGTTTTTGAGACAGCCTATGTAGTTAAGGCTGGCCTTGAACTTGCGGTGATCCTCCTGCCTTAGCCTCCCAATTGCTGGGATTACAGCCTGTGCCACCACACCCAGCTCACATGTGGCTTTTTTTTTTTTTTTTGGTACCGGGGATTGAACTAGGGACCTTGCGCTTCCAAGGCAGGCCCCAGAACCAAAACATGTGGCTTTTAAAGCTCATTATCATGCTCCAATTGTATTCATTCAGAAAAGTAAAGGGAAGAAAGTATGATAATTTGTAATGGATGATCAATTGAAGACATGAAATAGTTGGAAATTTGTACGTCCTTGTAGTAAATAGCTTACAAGATGATATTCAAGTGAACTGAAAACATTTTTACATTAACTACTTTGAAATAAGAGCTAAGTGTATATATCTATACATAGGGTCCCTGAGTGCAGCAGATAAATACACAAGCATGTGCAATTAGTGACTTAAATACCAGAGCAGCTTTGCTGCCAGTAATTTTTCCAAAATGGCAAACTACTCTTGATAAACTTCCAAAAAAGTGCAATCTTCATTTTCCATAATAGGTACATTACCAGAAAATTCATATATTCATCATAGTACAATGATAGCACAAATATTTTCTGTTTAGGTATAAAACCAAGTTAGCAAGTTCTTGGTTCCACACATTACAAGCGGCCTATAGTTTGGGGGCCAGTTCTTCAGGGCAAGGGACTCACTCTTGACCTGTGGACACTGACACTCCTGAACCTGACTGCAGACTCCTGGAACAGACCTCGAATCTTTGGGGCAACTACAGCAGTCATGAGGGTCAGTGCAGCCCCCAGTGAGAGCTCTGGCCTAGCAGTGCTGTGTTCTGGTTCTTGCTTGGGAATGGACAAGCTGGACCCCATGGAGTAGAGGCCACAGAAATGTGCAGATCAAGCAATCTGAGACTCTTCCTTACAGATGCAGAGTTTGATCTGGTAGGACCCAGGCTGTGCTTTTCAGGAATACCATGTTTTAAAGACCAGGGAAGCTAGCCATGTAAAGTGGTGCGTGCCTATAATCCCAGCACTTGGGAGGCTGAAACAGGAGGATCACCGCAAGTTACAAGACCAGCCTGAACTACATAGTGAGACCTTGTCTTGAAAAACCAAAAAAAGCAGGGCGTAATCCCAGCATTGGGTTGCTAAGAGGTTCCATAGGTTATGTGTAGTCAATGTATTCAATTTCCAATGTGTTTACCTGGACATATACCCAGTGGCACATGCCTGCAATCCCAGCACTTTGGAGGCTTGCTGAAGTTCAAGGCCAGCCTGAGCTACTGAGTGAGACCCTGCCTCAAAAACAAAAAAACAAAAGATCAGTGAGCAAGAGGCAGTTGGATTTCACGGGGAGCCAGAGTGCAAGGGGTTAAGGGGAAATGAAGCTTAGTCCTCAAATGCAATGGCTGTCACACAAAGACAAAAGAATCATAGTACTGTACCTACTCCTTGAGGGGGCCAGATGGACTAAACTGCAAATCTGTGTAGAACAATGTAAGCGCTCCATAAATGCTAGTACATCAGACTTCACCTTTCCATTATCTTTTTTATGTCTCATATCAAATCTATATATTTGTGTATTTTCATCGTCTCTGTTTTACATATCAAGGAAGCAGATTTAGAAATGTTAAGAAAACTTCTGCCAAAGACAACAGAGATGGAAGTCAAAGCAAACAAAATGCTGCTGGGTGCACTAGTGCATGCCTGTCATCCCAGCTATTTGTGAGGCTGAGGCAGTAAGATCATAAGCTGAAGGCCAGGTGGGCAACTAAGGGAGATGCTATCTCAATTTAAAAGGGTTGGGGATAAAGCTCAGTGGGAGTGGCCCTATGCTCAAACTCCAGTGTCAGGAAATCAAGGAAGGAGGGAAGGGAGAGAGAGGCCACCTCAACCTTGGGAGCAAGAAGTCACCTCAGTCCCAACGCAGACATGGCATCAAGCACTGTCCCAGTGTCTGTGGGACCCGGGATCCTGATGCAGCCCTGAACCCCATTCACTCCGTCCTTTCTCCACAGGTCCACTTCCCCTCAGAGCTCAAAAAGAGGCTGGCAGGGCTGGGGATTTAGCTCAGCGGTTCCATCGCCTGCCTCACAAGCCCAAGGTCCTGAGTTCGATCTCCGGTACCAAAAAAAAAAAAAGAGGCTTGCAGCCTCCTAAACTCTTATCCCAGTGTTTGGGCTCCTCTTGTGGACTTGATGGAGAAGACAGAGGGCCCCGAGTTTCTGCCTGCTGCAGTGGCCCACTGTCCTTTCCCTGGCTTTTCATCACGATTAGAATCAAGCACCACCCCTGTTACTCTTGTTTTTAGAGCAGCCGCTTCTCCCCTTGCTCAACCCGTCACGCTCTCTCTCTAGCCCCATCCCTTTCCTGGTCACCACCCATGACACAGTGGACTCGCTGACCTTGGGCTCATAGGGGACAGGGGGCCTGCTCCTTCCCCTCCCACTTCTCTGTGATCCTGCTGTCAGTGCCTCCCTCTTATTCATCTACTTCCTTCCTGTCCATTCTTTAGGACTCAACTCAAAAGCTGCCCTCTCACTACTTGGAAGCCAGTGCTTTATTTTAAAACTAATAAAGTGACAGAACTTGTTTTGTTTTTTTGGTACTGGGGATCGAACTCCGATCCTTGCACTTGCAAGGCAGGCAGTGGAACCACTGAGCTAAATCTCCACGCCCCAGAACTTGCTTTTACACAAGCTGTGCCTTAGGATAACTAAACTTTGAGAGGAAGGGGAGAGATGAGGGGTGGAGAATGGGGTGAGCATAAAAATAAAACAAGGCATGGAGGGACAGATGTTGATGTTCATTACACTACTGTACATTTTCTGACTGAAATTTTCAAATATACACAAAGTTAAGCAATGCATAAGGCCCTGAGTTTGACCTCCCCTACTGTAAAAACCAACCAACAAACAACACACATACAAAGATCAAGCAGGGCTGGAGATGCAGCTCAGTGGTGGAGTACACTTAGCATGCCTGAGGCTCAATCCCTAGCACCACACAAATAATAAAGGCTGCAGCTCCCTGAAATGAAGGCCTTCTACAGGGCTTCTGCCTTGACCACAGGTCCTCACAGGTCCTGTCTTCTGAGCCTAGCTGGGTCCACAGCAGCCCCTCAATGGATGCTGAACATGAATGGTGGTGCTAATCTTCATAACCCAGGAACATGGAAGTCACTCCAGGATCCTGAAGAGGAATGAAAGGCATAGGACAGCCCTCCCCACCCCGAACACCAGCAACTGCCCTTTTGCCTGGGGAGCCACCCACAGGTCGGAGGGCCCTCATTTTCACCTTTGGAGCTGAACTATACTCCTGCCCTGAGCCTGTCCCAAGAGCTACCCCACGAAAACACACATGCAAACACAGGCGCACACACACACATGCGGAGGCTGCTGTCAGGAACTTTAATAAGGCATGGCTGATGACTCTTGCTGCTAATAGTTACAGGTCAAAGAGGAAGGGCATTACATCTGTAAGAAAATAAAAAAAAAGTTCAAGGGAACTTGTACTTTGCAACCACTGTCCCCACATCTGGAATGCTCTCTTCTAGTAGGCCATTTACATCTCCTTGCTGGATGCTCACACACCACCTCTTTTGAGGCTCCCTGAACAGTGCCAGGAAAAAGGAGAAAGTTGCCATTGCATGTGACACCTCTCATGGGCCAGCTGTGCCTTGTGCCCCTCAACCCCAAGCCCTGCCACATCAAGGGTCATGCTAACGGGAGCGGTCTCAGCTCCACCAGGCATCACCAGTGGAGCTTAGACCACTGCTGCCCCCCTTCCCCCAGAGCAGGACCCAGGCTGGTAGCCTTAGCTCAGGGCCCTCAGGTCCCCCCTTGGGCCCACGGGTGACAAGGCATCACACCTGGCTGGCTCATGCACTGCTGGATACTTTCCAGCCGAGTGGAAGCCAAGGCTCGGGCCTCCTCCGCAAAGCGGCGGCGTCCCTCCTCAGTCAACTTCCAGAGGCAGGATCGAGGCCGGGGGTTGGCCTCCCCCTGCATACTGACCGGCACTTTCTGAAAGCTGTCTCGGAAACAGAGATTGTGACGGATTGTATTCTTCCAGCCTTCTGGAGCCGTCCGGAAGAAAGGGAAGTGCAGTCTGTGGACAGGGAGGAAAGGTAAGGCAATGAGAGGTTTCTGTGGAGGAGGCCCCACTGCCCAGCCAGCTGTGCCCTAGGGGCCAGGAGCCTCACATCTTCTCTCAAGGTGGCTAATGCTAAGTCGGGCTGGCACTGCTCTTTGCTGACTGCACACATGGCAAACTTCCCCACTGTGCACTGCTTATGAGACCCTCTACCCCAATGCTAGAGATTGAACCTTGGGCCTTCACACTGAGCTACATCCCCAACCTCTTTTATTTTGAGACAGAATCTTGCTAAATTCCCCAGGCTGGGCTCCAATTTACAATCATTCTGCTTCAGCCTCCCTAAGTGCTGGGATTAAATGCCTGCTCATAGCCAGCTGAAAATCCTCTTTTTAAAATTAAAAAAAAATTTTTTTTTTGGTACTGGGGATCAAACTCAGGACCTTAGGTGGCAGAACCACTGAGCTGAATCCCCAGCCCATTTTTTTTTTTTAAATTTTTGAGACAGGGTTTTGCTATGTAGTTCAGGCTGGCCTTGAACTCACTATATAGTCCAGGCTGGCCTCCAGCTCCCAGTGATCCTCCTGCCTCAGCCTCCTGTGCTGGAATTACAGGCATGTGCCACCATGCCCGGCCCCTTTTTTATAGACGGAGTCTCACTTTGTAGTTCAGGCTGGCCTAGAACTGACTATGCAGCCCAGACAGGAAGTGTCACCACTCCCAGCACTAAGTCTTCTTTTTAAAGCCCATCTCACTGCTCCCAGCCCTAGGTTTTTTCCTTAGTTGCCCTCAGGGCTCAGAACTTGGGTCACAGGAGAAACAAAGAAGAATCAGGCCTCTTGTCACAGGGCCACACCACTGGTGGATTAATAATCTGAGACATTGGGCTCTTCTCCATTCCAATCCTGGTTAAGGGCCCGGGAAACTCCCTCACTCCGGTACCTGAGTATCAAAGCTAAATCCAGTGCTGGGGGTGACCTCTGTAGCACAGTGTACACTCAGCATGTGCCAGACCTGGGTTCAATCCCAGAGCATGCATGCACAAACATGCACGTACACACACCCACTAGATGGCAGCCCTTCTCGACTGGGCTACCCTGGCCCCTGGGGTACAGGGAGCTATGCCAGGCAAGAACAGAGTAGAAGTGAGTGGGACACTGGTTGGGGAACCAGCGTTCCTACTGGCTAATCTTGAGAGGCAAGTGGAAGGAAGTGTTACTGACCCGGGTTAATCTTGTTTCATGGGGGATCCTGTTTATAGGTGGGGAGGAACACATTGGCCTGGGAGGGCGTTCATCCTCAGACTCAGATGGGGAAACTGAGTCAAAGCCCAGGGCCAGAGCAGATCACAAGGCTTCAGACCAGGGCCCGGACCCCCTCCCATCCCCCTCCTCACAGGGCCCCCCACACATACCGAGTGAAACTGTAGATCTGTTGCACGTTGAGGCCACAGGGGGGACTGTTGCTTAGTGCCAGGGCAATAAGGTGGAAGTAATTGAGAGGGGGCCTGGACCATAGCCTCCCCTCCAGGCTGACGGTTTGCTGCAGCCTCCGAGTCTGGAGGGAGGCCCTTGTGAGAGGGGACAGGAGAGCCACAGAGGAGCTGTCATCCTGGTCCTCAGCCTCCTCTTCTGTGAGCTAGAGGAGCAGAGTAGGAACTGGTCCTGACTCTGCGGGCTCCACTCCAGGGTGCAGTGGCTTAAGGGGAGTGGTGCAAGACTAGGTGGGCTTCTCCCCAACCCAAAGGACCTGCTCACTTCTGCACATGTTAACCTTTAGCTGTCCCTAGGAAAACCCAACACTGATGCTTTGTTCCTGTTCCCACCCACCCTGCCTACTGCCCAGGCTGGCTCACAGGCCAGTCAGTGATCCATACCTCCCTGTCACCAGGGGAAGAGGCGAACCGCTTCCGCTTCTGAGGGGGCAACTGTTCATTGTAGGAGGGCAGCATCAAGTCCACCCCTGTACCCTCTGAGCCTCTGTCATCTTGCTTTTCCAGGGATGGCTGAGGGCAGGGGGGCTTGCTTGTCACATCCTCCTTCTTCAAAGGATCTCTGACCTCCAGCTTGCCCAAAGGGTACACGATGTTGGGATTTACCCACATCCACAGGTTGGGTTCAATATCCAGACCTGTGTGGAGCAAAAGGAGATGGTGCTAAAGCTCAATGGCTTTTGAGTATCCCTGGTACCCAGCTCAGCACACACAACCATGTCAGAAAACTTCCTCACTACTCACCATCTCCATCAGGGTTGGGTTTCTTTTCCAGAGGCAATACAGGCGGATGAACCATTCGGAGTTTATATTTGGCAACTGGTGAAAAGTCAACAGAGTAACAATATAACAGAGTCACAATATAACACATTAACAGAGTCAAGGACAAAAACCATATGAACCTCTCAATAGATGCAGAAAAAGCATTTTTTTGGCGGGTACTGGGAATCGAACTAGGGACCTTCCGCTTGCGAGGCAGGCAATGGCACCACTGAATTAAATCCCTGGCCCAAAAAGCATTTGACAAGATCCAACACCCATTCATGACAAAAATCCTACACAAAATTGGAATATGGTCTTTATTTCAATCTGAAAAGAGCCATCTACAACAAACCAACAGCCAACATCATACTTTTTTTTTTTTTGGTACTGGGGATCAAACTCGGGTCCTTGCGCTTGCAAGGCAGGCGGTGGAACCACTGAGCTAAATCCCCAGCCCAACATCATACTAAATAAACAAAAACTGAAAGCTTTCACTCTAAAACCAGGAGCAAGACAAGGATGTCCACTGTCACCACTCTTGTTCAGTATTATTCTAGAAACATTAGCCAGACCAATTAGACAAAAAGAAAGAATAAGGATAGGAAAAGAAGACATTAAATTATCATTATTTGCAGATGACATGATACTCTACATAGAAGACCTCAAAAATGCCACTGAAAGTCTTGATTTGATAGCCAAATTCAGTAGCATAGCTAGATATAAAGTCAACACTCAAAGATCAATAGCCAGGGGTGGGAGATTTAGCTCAGTGGCTTCTTGCTTGCCTTGCAAGCGTAAGGTCCTGAGCTCGAGCCCTGGTATAGGGGGAGTGTCAATAGCCTTCCTGTACATGAATAACAAATTCACTGAGAGAAAATTAGGAAAACAACACATTTCACGATAGCATCCAAAAAAATGAAATATCTAGGAATCAATCTAATGGAATAAAAGACCTCTACATTGAAAACTACAGTACCCTGGAGAAGGAGATTGAGGGTTGGGGATTTAGCTCAGTGGCCCCATGCCTGCCTTGTAAGCACAAAGTCCTGAGTTCAATCCCCAGTACAAAAAA